AAAGTTAGGACTGTGATAGGTACATGTCTTGGAAGGATGCTTTGTCTTGTTTGAGAGGCTATGTAAGCAGACTTCAAGTTGCTATAGGACTGCAGTATTTACAGTTTTATATGTATTTTTAAATCCAGATAAATTATACCCATCAGTATTATCAGGTGGCTTGTTCCTCATGGCAACTGAAGGGTAAATGGCTATTACTTAATTTGGGTTGCCAGGCAGGTGATACTTCAGTTACAGTGATTAGGCTGGTTTCAGCCAAATTCTGGCTCTCACTGGCTTGTGTTTTTTTGATAAGCTCACACAGTAGATAAATGTGACTTGTCTCTGTTGCCCTGAAAGCTTTGTGTCCACCATACTGTGATACTGAAATACTGCTTTATTACTGAACATTAATTATGTGCCTGGTATGTATAGAATGCTGCACATTGCTAGGAGAACACACTTAAGGGACTGCTGATTATTCCCGTGAAATCCAATTTGCAGCAGGTTTAGGTACTGCAAACAAGGCAAAGACAATTTTCTAGCATCTGAAGAGGAAGTTCCAACAATGTGCTTATTTTGAACTCTGGGTTTCAACAAGAAACACATTTCAAGGAAGACAAAAACATTTTTGCTTGAATCCCTAAATATGATAAAAGGGATAATACTTCCCCAAAGTCCTGTAAAGATCTGATCAGTGCATTCTCACCAGGGAAATATTTTGGTACTTATTTGGTACTTGGGTTTTATAGCTTTGTCCCCACTGACCTCTACAGTATGTTAGGATAGATGTCACCACTTCCAATAGGAATGATGTAGTGTCCTGTGATAGTCCTTTGGTGTCACTGATAGCTGTATTGATTACTTAAATTTTCACTTCCTGTCATTTATGAATGAGCGCTCCTCAGTGCTTAGCACAAAAACTGAAGACATTTGTTAGGATCTGCCATTTGGTAAGGGTAGGCAGAGTCAATTTGGAGGACACTGCTGTCATCCAAAGTCTTATAATACACCATTGTAGAAAACAGTGTTTTACCCGGCTCCGCAGTCTACATTTTCTCCCTTTTTCTCTCCAGCTAAAATCTGCTGAAGAATGACTGTTAGTATTCCAGTCCACATTCCTGTTCTCTTTGCACTGTTCTCCTGTAAGACACAGGCTCAGCCTAACTACATTCACCCACAGTAAACTCTACAGCACCTCTTTGCAGAATGACAGTGCTGCTGCTCCTCTCCACTACTTGGCTTGAAAGAAGAGCAAAACTGAGAAACAAAGGCAAACGGAAATTGCTGTTAGATCAGGGAGAGGGGTTATCTGTATTAGTGTGAAGTCCGGCAAAAAGCAGTGCAGATTTGCACCTTACAGACTAATGGACTTGGAGGGCATGTAGCTCATTGCTATGGCAATGTAGTGTCAGTGGGCACAAACCGTGATGCTGATGCTATGTTGCCGTAGTGATGAGCTACCTTGCTGTAGTGCCTCGCTATGGCAACATAGCTGCTAAAAATAACCGTGTGCCACTAGGCATCATTTAGTTAGTATTTCCTAAAGCAAGCACCTAATGATGATGCAGTAACAACTGTGCCGTGCGAGGCACATGTAGATGTACCCAGAATGTCCTTTCACAGCGTCTGATGAAGTGAGTGCAAGTTCACGAAAGCTTGTGCCAGTGACTGTCAACTTTTCTGGACTTGAGGCACCCATCCATAACTTTTGTGAATTGAGTGACATGCAATTTAAAAAACCTATTTATGTATTACACTGTTTATCGTTTACAATTACAGGAGCTGGGCAGTTGGAGTAGGGGAACAGCCAGCCAAAGTCTGGCTTATCTTATTTCCTCACGCCTCACTTATCTCTACACACCTTGTGGCACACTTCAAAGGATTTGACAGAACCAAGACTGTCCCAGAACCCTAGTTGAGGATCACTGGATTATGCTATACATCTCAACTTTAGATCAGACCATTGTCTATTTGATCCTTCAAAGAAAATGAGCTCCCTGCCTGTCCCCAGTCTAATATACGTTTGTGTACAATTTTGTATGCAACCAGAAAGGTTCCCTTTGATTTATGTATGTGATCAGCAGGGATCCTGGTTTTCCATTTCCCACGGAAAAACAGAGAAAACCGCAGATTTCCCCTTTTTATCAGAGAAAATGAGGATTTCTCCTTTTAGCAGATAAACCTGGGGATTCCCTGCTTTTACAAACAGCTCTGAAGGCTGGTTGAGCACCAGCATGCAAGAGTTTTTTGCCAACAGGGCGGGAAACCCCAAGCCCTGCCCGGAGGGGGAGGGGGAAGGGCGGGCCTGAGGCTCTCGGCCACAGCTCTGCTTAGCTTCACTCTTCGCTCCTGGAGCCTGAGGTAAGTGGGACTTGCAGGGGGCTGGGGACCCCTCTGGCAGGGCTGGGGGGGTTGCGGGTCATGGCTGGAGGCACCGGCAGGGGTGGGGGGAGCCAGCTCCACTCCCACTCGAGCAGGCAGCAGCAGTGGGGAAGCCAGCTTCTGGTGCATCTGCTTGCTGTTGGGGCAGGGAGCTGCAGACTTGGGGCCTTGGCCCCATAGCCCTGGGAGCTGGAGGCCCCCTCCAGCAGGGCTGGGGGGGCAGGGACTTTGGGTGGGGGAAGAGGCACGAGTAGGGCGGGGAGCTGTTGGGACAATGAGGAGCACCAGCAGGGTTGGGATGGCTTTGAGGGCAAGTGAGGGGCACCAGCAGGACTCGGGAGTCATTGGGGGTAAGGGGCACCAGCAGGAATAGGGGGGCTTCAAGGGGCTTTTAATTTTAATAACAGATTTGGGGGGGTTTTCAGAGAATTCGTGATTTTTTTTATTTATTTATTTTTTGTCAGTGAATTTGTGTTTTTTTTCTCAGAGGAAACCAGGATCTCTGGTGATCAGGCTATTAGGGCTGTGCAACATTTCACTGGGTGTTATGTTTTGAAGCTGTTTCAATGCATTTTGAACTCAAAACAGTGAAATCAAAATGAAACAAAAGGCTTTAAGACAGCTTCAAAATGAAACAAGGGCACTCAAAATGTTTCAAGTTGCAAAGCTGGGTTTACTTGGATTTGGCACTGGTCCCAGGTGGCAGCAGCTGCCTCCTCTCATCCAGCACGCAGATCCGGGGGCTTGCATCCCCGGGAGGAGTCTGGCACAGCCCGGCAGCCCTCCCAAGGGTGCAAGCCCCCAGATCTGTGCCCTGGATAAGAAGAGGCTGCCTCTTGCACCTGGGACCAGCGCTGGGCACGGGCTGCACCCAACACCAGAGAAGATTGCTGCTGCCGCCTGTCCCAGGTGGCAGCGGCAGCCTGAGCCTCCTCTCATCCAACACACAGATCTGGGAGCTTGCACCCCCGGAGGGGCTGCTGAGCTGTACCAGACTCCTCTTGTGGGTGTGCGCACCTGGATCTGCCCGCTGGGCTGTTGCTGCCACCTGGGGCAGGTAGCAGCAGCAATCTTCTCCAGTGCTGGGCGCAGCAGCAGCCTCCTCTCAAGTGTGCAGATCCAGAGACCCGCACCCCTGGGAGGAGTCTGGCACAGCCCCACCAGGGGTGCAGGCCCCTGGATCTGTACACTGCATGAGAGGAGGCTGCCACTGCTGGCAAGTGTCAGAAGTTGTATTTTGGAGAGTTTGAGGTGCAGTTTCCCAGAAACCTCTGCATGCATCTCCTTGAAACTTAGCAGGCCTCATGCCTTCAGAAGGAGCTACCATTTTTGCCATTTTAATCCAAATCAGGCAAGAAATGACAAAGTTTTAGACATTTTCATGATTCCCCATTGTAGCCTCTGGTCGAAATGTCGAAACACACTGAAACAGCAAAACAGTTGTGACAAAATGAAATGGGACAGTGCTTCGAAACAAAATGAAATCAAACTAAACACTGTCCCTTCCAAATGGTGAAATGGACAGCGCTACAGGCTATGTTATGAACACGACAATTTTCCTAGTTAGCTCATACATCTAGGTGAACTTGTATTTATCAATATCCAATTCCAAAGAGATACTAGCCTTTTTATAGCCCCAGAGAACAATGTCGCACTCAAAACCTTGGATGTTCTTCCATCCTGGTGTTTTCTGATTAAGATCAAGGTCAGCTGAGGCAGCCTTATGGCACTGTAGAAATGTTGGCTGCAGATGCACCAAAATATTTTGATTTGTATATGGGTGTTTAATACCAAAATTCCTACTGGTTCAAGTGCCAGTTTGGCTGAACTGGTGGGAAATTCCATGTAAATAAGGATCTGGACTAAAGCTCTTGGGTCAGAGGTGATATCTTTTAATAGATCAACTAAATGGTAGCAAAAATAAATATTTAGTTGCAAGCTTTTGTGTACACACCCTTCTTCAGACTGAGGAGAATTCAAAGATTGTAAAAGATTTCCTAGGTAGAAAAGAAATGTCATTTTGCACAGGGGAGGTAGAGGGTGGAAGTTTTTTTCCCCTTGGTACTTCAGAGTCCTTTTGTGAGAGGGTTGCTTAGTGATGTGCGGATTAGGCAGGCTTCTTCCCTGGAGGTGTCTGATGTCAGACAAGGAGGTGAAAATTTCTTCTTTCTTGGTTAGCAATGAAGTTTACATATCCAAACAGCTAAATATGATATCTTCTATGTTTCAGGGAGCTAGACTAGGTTTTTAATAGTTTTATTCCATGTTGGTTAACCCTACCTAACAAGTAATATCAAATCTATAGGAACTTGGCAGAGCAACAACTAAAATCCTCCATCACTTTCAGCAGAGCACCATTCTTTGAACCCAGCTTTGTGGTCTGAATCCAGGTTTACCTAGCAGCATTACAGATTCTGCATACCAACTGTCCAGCTCCGTACATAGCTCTGTTTGTTGGGGGTGACTACAGATCCAGGTACCCTTAGGTCAGAGGTGGACAATTATTGGGGCTTGAGGGCCAGTTAGAGAGTTTTGGTGAGCTGCTGCAGATTGGGGGGGAGGGGTGCTGATCTGGGCCAGTAGGAACGGGGGTGCTGACCTAGCCCAGAACAGCTGCGGGGGGAGTGGGGGGGCTGGTGGTTCTGACCTGACCCAAAGCAGCAGGGGGGAGGGGCAATTGATCCTATCCAGCTTGGGCCTTTCCACCCTGTACCTACCATCCAGGGCTTCAGACAATGGTTAGTTGGGTGGGCGTGGTCTCCATGAAGACTGGCCCAGGACCTACTTGGCAGAGTACATTCAGCAGGATGGATGGCATGGGCCTGTGGGTGGGTGGGAACAGCATCTGGGAGCAGGATGGTTGGGTAAGGCTGGGGCTGGAATAGTGGGGCAGTGACAATGCTGGCCTGAGGCCGGGAGCAGAGCCATGATCCAGTCCCTGCATGCCCCTGCCTGTGGAACTAGTGCCTATTACAGGGGCTTGTGGGGAGCAGATCACAGCTCTGCCCCAGCTCCATACTGTCACCATCCAGCGATCCCAGCTCCAGCCCTGCCTGTCCGACTCCCTGCCCACCTGTGACCCCATTGCATCCATCCAGGCAAGTGCATCCTGCCCAGAGGGATCCTATGGAGACCCCGTCTGCCTGCTCCCACCAGGGTATATGGGCACCAGGCCTGGGTCTGGTGATGGCAGTGACACTGGCAGCAGCAGCTGGAAGGAGCCACTGCTGCCAGGAAGCTGAGTCCTATGACTGTGCTGCCCCAGCCCTGCTGAGTGCCCAGGGGCAGCAGGACCAGCTGCAAGCACCATGGGCCAGGCTGCCCCCTGCTCCTAGGCCAGGCAGGGCTAAGGAACCCATTACAGCAGGGGTAGGCAACATTTTTTGGCTGGAGTTCTGAAAAAACCACAATGTCTACCTTGGAAGGTGCTGGAGTGCCGGCTTGCCAGAAAAACAAAACAAGGGCAGGAGGTACACAGCAGGATGCACAGCATATTAGTATAATTAATAATCATAAATGTTGCCTTTTTATGGTAAATACCAGATTTTCTAAAAATTGTTAACCTGGTGACAATAAATAAAACTTCAGTGTTCTGCCACTCCGGGTCACACACGCTGCACTCCCGGTCCTGCTGCCCTCCCCTGGGCCGTCTGGAGCGCAGCATGTGTGACCTGGAGTGGCAGTGCACAGAAGGGCTGCACAGGGAAGCTGCCTGCCGCTGCAAGCTCCACACTGCCCTGGTCACACTTCCCCTGTGTGCACGGGGGCAGCGCGGGCAGCAGCACAGGGTTGTGCCCCTTGCTGCTGCCCCCACCTGCAGGGGAGGTGTGGCTAGAGCAGCAGGAAGCTTTCGTGTGCCTCCCCAGTGCCCTGCCACAGCAGGATCCATATGCTGCTCTGCAGTGGTGGTGGGGGAGGGCAGCATGGCAGGGAGCATCGCCAGCACCTGCTGCCTGCCTGGGGCTGTGGCTGTGGCTGGGAGGTGGCCAGCACTGCGTCGGTTGGCCAGGGTGGGGAGTCAGCAGCTGTTTGCAGCCTCCTGACTGCAGCTGGCCCAGGCTCTGAGGTAGCTGTTGCCAGCCATGGTGCCTAGGCTGCTTGCAGCAGGGCTTGTAGCCTCCCTGCCACCTGCTGGGAGCAGCCCGGGCTCTGTGGCTGGCAGCAGCAGCCTAGAGCCCAGGCTGGCGGTCACATGCCAAGCAAAACGGCCTCATGTGCCATGCTTAGCACACGTGCCAGGGGTTGCTGAGCCCTGCATTACAGGATAGATAAAATCCCTTGGATCTGGTCTGCATGCTGCATTTTGGCCACCCCTATTTTATATATATAGCATTTTGTCTCCCTACATAGATCAGGGGTTTCTATTTTGGTCTGGGTACTCTGACACCTTTATTCTACTTTGAAACTTTTGTACCATCACTTCCATTGTCTTTACTCCTTTTTCTTCCTGCCTTCTCCCATCCCTCCCCCCATCGTGAATGAATTGCTAGTAGATAGTGTAAGAGCCCTGCCCTGGAGTTTTTCTGTCTCAAGGGGTGAGGTTAATCCTGGATGATCTTACCATTAGGAGAAAATTATTTATCTGTTATACCTAAAGTACATAATTTGAAAGTAGTTTCACTCAGCCTCCCAGATGGTACAGTGTACCTGTGGTCTCTAACCATTGGTTTGATTTCTGAGCAAGCAATAGAAAATACAAAAGGCTGCATCCATAATGGAGATGGATAGGGGGTCAATAGAGTATCTTAGTGGGTTAATGGATGTACCACCCAGGACTGAGACAATTATTGTAGGACATTTAAGCTATGGGTGGGTGTTCTTCCTTATCATGGAACCTAATGGAGATGTGTGGAGATTTAGGAGAAAGCT